GTTACCCTGGCCATCTCAGGAGGGACCACCGTAAGGAGAAATCTACACAGTATCTTATCCATGTCACTTATCATGATGATGATCATGATGATGAAGATGATAATAATCATTTAAATGCTGCGTAATTTATATAGTTCCAGAGTTCAAAGTCGCTTTACGAAATTTCTCTACAAAGTCTCCAATCCAGTTAAAGTGCTACTTTAATTTCATATATGCACATGAAAGTTGTTTTTGCTGCTCTTATTACTAACTTTGCATGATCATAGAACTTCAAACCGCTAAGATTCTTGGTTTCACAGGTATTCACAATCGAATGGAGTGGAAATGTCTTCATGAACACAATGAAGACCCAACTGCCTCTTTTAACAGGTATCCTCTTGTGATTTAGAATAACACTCTTTATATTCGGCAACTCATTCTACATTCAAATCTTACTTTCAATATTGACTGCATCTAGAGGAAATATATGCTTTTTTACTGTTTTTTGTCATACCGTGTTTCTGCCTGGTGTGCAAAATTACTGGAGGTGGCTTTCATTTCTGTGAAAGATATATTGTTAGCACTTTACAATAAGGCTGCCCTTTGTCATTTATAAATAGTAGCAACTTATTGATAAAAAACTGTTATAACTTGTTTATAATTGTCTATTGATGATTTACGAAGTGTTACAACCTAATTAATAACCTGAATATAAACCTTTCATAAACTCATTTTAAGGGCAGTCTTATTGTAAAGCGGTACTGATTTATTTTTTTCAGTCATTTTTAGTCAGCTTTTGAACCATTTCCATGTCTTTGCTACAGCTGTAGGAATAGGATGTATATTTTTCAGATGCTGTGAGCATCTTTATGCCAACTTCGTTCTTCCTCATCATCGAGACCTCCTTTGGACTTCAGCTGAAGATTCAACTCACTCCGATCATGCAGGTCTACATCACAGCCAGTTCTGAAAACAAAGGAATGACTTGTGGTATGTTTGAAAAATATACTCAGATATTTGATCCAAATCAACACAGAAGCTGCTCTAGACCAAGGTTACAGTACATTGAGAATCCTGTGTGTCTAAATGGTGACATGCTGGTTTTCTTGGTGTTTCAGGACTGTGTGGGAACTTTAACGGCATCCAGGCTGATGACTTCAGGACCACCTGTGGGCTGGTGCAGGGCACGCCTGTGGCTTTTGCCAACACCTGGAAGACACGCGCTCAGTGCCCCAATGTGCACAGCAGTTATGAAAACCCCTGCAGTCTGAGTGTGGATAATGGTATCCATTCCGGCAACTTTTTGCAGAATTCATGTTATAATGTTTCAGCACACCTTGCAGGAATTATGATAGACTTTTTGAAAAATAGGCCGACCATACAGCAGCACCAAATGAAATGTTTAAATACTACAGAAGTATTATTTGGTTAACCAAAGCAGTAAAGCGTATAGTCTGGGGACTCATTGTTGCTCAGTGGGTTGGAGATGTTATTCCTGTGATCAGAAGGTTGCAGGTTCAAATCTCCTGGTTAGCAGAGTGATGTCATCATTGAGCCCTCAGGCAAAGCCCTTAATCCCCAGGAGCTCTAGGGACTAGTTAACCCTGCTTTGTCAAAAGCTAATGTACATCATTCTGGGCAAACACTTCTATTAAATATATCAAATGCAAGTAAATAATCCAAACCTGTAAAAATTTCTGAATTATCTTTTATTGTCATGCTGTGTCCTCCAGAGAAATATGCGCAGTATTGGTGCTCAATGCTATCAGATCCAGAGGGACTGTTTGCCCCATGCCATGCAGCGATAAACCCGGACATTTACAGAGCTGTAAGTTGAAAATTCACTTGANGCTCAATGCTATCAGATCCAGAGGGACTGTTTGCCCCATGCCATGCAGCGATAAACCCGGACATTTACAGAGCTGTAAGTTGAAAATTCACTTGACAATAGTACAAGAGGGGTGGTGTGGTGACATAGTGGTTAGCATTGTGGTCTCACACCTTTAAGACCAGGGTTTCAGTCTCTATCAGGGTTTTTCTAAGTTGTCCATAGATGTGCATGTGTAGGTGACTGCTGTGTGAGTGTACCTTGAAATGGATTGGTGCCTCATTCTGGGTTGTTTCCTGCCGTGTGCCTGTAACGTCCAGAATAGGCTCTGGATCCCCCACAACCTTGAGCAGGACAAGCAGTTTCTTTAAATGAATGTAGAATGCAGATCTAAATACAACATATATTTCAATGTGTTCTGTTAACTAGAATAGCTTTACATATGTTGTAGGCCAGGGCTGCCCCTGGCCAAATTGGGGCCCTAAGCAGAAGTTTATCTTAAGGCCCCCCCCCATTACAAAATTACTGTATCACGAAACGCCATTTAGGTTTTTCAGCATTGACCCTGTTATGACAAGAAATCCATCATACAAGCAGATTATTAAGATTGAATATTGAATATTTAGGGGTTTTTATGTGTAAGCATGAACCATTTACAACTGGCTACATCCCCCCCTTTCATGGCGCTGATGGGGATGTATCTGGATTGCGTTTCACCGTTGCGTTGTTCATTAGATTACCATGCGAATTCGATTTCAATTCAATTTAAAATGCGAATAGCGATCTTCACGTCTGGGCAGTACTACACGCCCCCGATGCAGGTAAAACCATCAACGATGACATGGTTTACTTTTTTGCCGATTTAGCCTAATTTTAAAAACTTTAAATACTTCCAACAATGGACGTTTTGAAAAGAAGACAGATTACGGATTTAGCCAGCGTTTTTTTCATGATTCTACATGAAGATTTCAGCGAGATACAGTATAAACGGAAATACACAAGAAAGATACGCGTCGTCCCCGGAGGGTTAATCTCCGGTCAACATCTAGACAGAAATATCCTCTCTTCTGTCTCATGATTAGCAGGGTAGCAGCTGGGGTGTTTGTGCCACAAAATGTTTCTTTTTTTATTTCAACAACATACCCACATTCAAGTGAAGCACGATCCTCCTCTTGTTTGGACTTTTCCTTTCTCTTGCTCCCGATTCGTATTGCCGTTTGGAGGCCATCTCTCTACCTGCATGGAACTGCCTGTCGGCGCATTTGACCGCTGATTGGTCAGATGCTGCGTGCTGTCGATCACTGCGGCAACGTGTTTCATGTCAGATTACTCGTCTCTTCTTTTCTCTCCTGCCTTGGGCTGGACTTGGTGCTCTACGCGTGAGAATTTGCAGAGAATGTGTCCCCTTGTGGAAAATGGGGCCCCCCATGGATCGTGGGGCCCTACGCACAGCGCGTGTTCTGCGTGTAGGGAGGGGCGGCGCTGTTGTAGGCAAATATCAAGCATGTGTGTTATTTCTTTCAACCTTTAGAAATGGGTTTCTCAAACTTTTTGGTGATCAGATATTTGTTCAAAGCAGTCCAGAGCAATTTTCAAAAATAAAACAGCATTTCGTGAACTTTAATGAGTTAACAATGACTAAAGGTGAATTACCTGCTGGCTTTGCATTAACTTGCGGTTTGGTCTGCATCCCGACTTTGAGATCCCCTGCTTTAGAAAAGGATTCACAGTGAGTGTCTGTTCCCCTGCAGAACTGCATGTACGACAGCTGTAACTGCGAGAAGAGCGAGGACTGCATGTGTGCTGCA